TATATATTGAAAATAAATAAAAAATACATTATACTATATTCTTCAGTATGTTATAAATATTATATATTTATATTTAAATTGTTATCAATGTAAATAAAAATATAAGATATTTACCATATACTTTTTAACTTCTCAAAAAGTTATCAAACACAGAAACTATGAACCTCTTAACTTCCCAGAAGGTTATTAAACACAGAAACCATGAACTTTATAAATAACTTCTAATTTACAGTTTTTCAGGAACTTCCAACTTACAGTTCATGAACTTGCTTTCAGTTACCAAACAGGCCCTTAATGAAGGATTACTTTGCTCTCGATGCTCCAAAAAAGGGTTACTTTGCCCTCTCATTTCCATGTGGTAAGTCTTTAAGTACATTGTCTATAAAAGAGAATGGCCTTGATGGTAGTATCGCTGAGCCCCCATGGTAGGGGTCTTTGAATTCAATCTCACCAAAGGATAGGGGCCCAAATCTCCATTCTCACCAAATGGTAGAGGCCCAAATCCCCATTGACTTACTTACCAAACTTTTTTTAGAATGGCCTGGGATCTTGGCGGTAATATTGTTGAGCGCCATAGAGAGGTCTCTTACTCTATTCTCACCAAATAGTAGAGGCCCAAATCCTTACTGACTTACCAAACTTTTGGGAATAGGGTTGAGGTTGAGATGGTAACACCCCACACTCTCGTCACCGCGTTGTGGTTTCCATTTCCATGAATAACACCACCCCACTAATGCCTTCAAAAAAGCTAACTCTGAATCTAGTTGAAAAAATAGATAAGGCCTGTCTTCCCCACTTAATTGCAAAAAACAAAAAGTACATTCTCAATGAAAAGATGAATACCAAATATTTGCTAAATCCTCAGAGAAATATAATTTTTTCCTATTTTTGATGAATACACATGCACACACAAATAGATAAATACCGATGTAAATGTGGATATATAAATGTCAGCATTAAGAAAAATTGATGTTTGCATGTAAAAGTTTTGATCAGAAATTTATCATAATAGACCTAACTTTTCAACAATTTCACAATTTACCTTTTTTAAACTATTCCAACTCATGCTTCTGAGTATGGGTGCAGTTTGCATATGAATGCAGCCGTAGGTGTAGAGGTACAGTGCACCTTCAAATTTTATTATGGTATGTAATTTTGATGTAAAATGTTCACAAGATTATCTCAAAATCTATTTTTATATCTAGTTATAAAATTCTAAATTTAAAAAATAGTCAAAATCAAGTAGATCTATAAACATATGAAAATCTTAAAAATAGACAGTGTAGATAATATGTTATAAAATGCACTATTTCTGATAGTTAAAATCTTTTGATTTTTCATAATCATACATCTCAATGTCGAGATGATCAATCAAAAGGTTTTTCAACACTAAAACTACTTTTTCCGATGATCTTTGAGGTGCATCCGTAACTCTACATTATAAGGTTGCATCCTTATATAAACTTTTTCCTATGCATATTTTGATGGGTATTTTGAAATTCACTCAAAAGATAAAGGCAAAAGATGTTAAATAGTTGATCTCTTGTATGTATTCTGATAAATTTCCATGTTTTTGTTAACCTGGGTATCAGGCTTTACTGAAAGTAATTTAAATATCTTTTGAACTCTGTCCATATGGAAATTCACTCAATAATTTGGGTCTATATTTTCTATTGTTCTTCTACATTACCAAAGAGAATCCCACAATGAGGTTTTGATTGCAAGTAACCTCCCATCTTCGAAGGACACCCTACTCAAAATACACGCAAATATTAAACCACGTGAGAAATGGACAATTCAAACGACCACAGATCAAGACTCAGAATTAACTTTGAATTGCACAGGCAATGGACCTCTGCAACTCCTCCTATTATTATGACCAATTTGTTTACAGTTACTGCAATTGACCAGAGGTGAGGTTTTGAAGGTTCCGAACAAATTTTGTTTTTCCGTGATCGACCAGGTCTTTTTTTGGTGGGTGGAGCCTCAATAGATAGGCTTTCATCACCTTCTCATTTGCTGGCGTAAAGTATTGGTCTATTGCCTCCAAATATGTTGCTTGATATTTGGCAACATAAAACCAACCCTGACAAAAATTACATGCGTTATATTTTTTATTATGAATGGCCGCCATAGCATGTGAACATGGCAGTCCTTGGACTTCCCACTGGCGGCATGAACACGTTAGTTGGCCAAGGTCCACAAAAAAAGTTTGCTCATTGGATACAATCTCAAATTCAGTCAGTCGACAAGGGTGCACATTATGTTGACGTGAAGGCTCTACCATTTTAGCCAAGTATTTTTCAGCAAATGGTGTAAGCATGCCAGTCCACTTCCCCCCATCATCACGTCGCTGGTTAAACAACTCCATCATCTTTATGTGTATGCATTCTACCAAGGAGATAATAGGCGAGTCTCTAGCCTCATTTAGCCAATTGTTGAAGCTTTCAGCAATGTTAGAAGTAAGAATGTTGTATCGATCTCCCAATTTTCAGTTCGGATGCTATTCATCCAAGCAACAGCCTCCTTGGATATGCCCTCAATGGTGCTCATGTGGAGCTCGAATTCTTGTCTTGTGCACGCCAGAGCAGCTTTCCAAAAGTGTTTTCATAACATGTCGTTCCTAAACAACTTATAAAAGCTTTCAGAGGGGCGTGCCATGCAAAATCCATGGAGTGCCTCTGGGAACACCTCCTTTACTGCACTTTGTAAGCCATTTTCCCTATTCAAAATAATTGTCAATCTTGGTATTTCCCCCAATGTCCGCCTTAACACAGTTAGAAATCATGTCCAATATGCGTTGCTCTCAGATTCTACAATAGCAAAAGCTACATGAAATGACTCATTGTTTGCATCCACAGCTGTGGCACAAAGAAACACACCTGAGCACCTCCCAGTAAGTTGAGCCCCATCAACTTCTAAAAATGGACGACATGCATTCAAGAATCCTCTAATTGATGCACTGAATGCCCAATATAAACTCAAGAATACACTGTCCCCATCACATATCAGTTCTGTAACACTTCCTGGATTTGTTCTCTCCATCTCTTTACAATAACCTGGAAGAGCCTTAAATGATTCTTTGTAAGATCCACGGATAGCACCCATTGCATCCTGTTTGGCTCTCCATGCTTTCACATAGCTTACATTGACATTGTATTGCCGTTTAATGTCTCTCACAATTTCCTTTGGGGTATAATATAAATTGGTGTGCACATAACACTAGCTATCCATGCAATACTCGCCTGTCTATGTGAAGAACTACATTTCATTACAAGTATGAACTGGATTATATGTTTTAATCTTGAATGTAGGCTGATGCATGTATGCGCCAAGGGCAAGCTGGATTGATACATTTCGCAGTACTCGTGTTCTTAGAGGTTCCTTATATTCAAAAGTTGAGTACATAGCAAACTCACACAATGCTTTATTAAAATCCTTGCCATCTACGAATATTTGGCCTACCTTCAACCTATGTGATGACTCATCATCACTCTCTTCAAACCCTACTTGCGTCTTCAATGCAAGGCTATCAGTGGGCCTTGGACCACAATCTAAGGTACCCTCATTTCCTCTCAAATCCTTCAATGTAACAAGGCCTTTTCACAAGTACCAATCTCTTTAGTAAAATCTTTACAACCAAAATTTGATGGTGATGCATCATCCATGGATCTAATGGACAATCCCGCATCTTCACCATCTGGCTCCAATCTATATTCGGAGAGTCGGAAAGGCTTTCAGACACATTCTGTGTGTTTGTAATACTGGGAACATCAGAAAGTTGTTGCTCTCTGATCATTATGTATCCCTCCTATCTGCGGCAGATGATTGGGGTGAGTTTGTAGTAATGGGGACTGATGATTGGTTGTTCCCAATTCTTGTGTTTCTGCTATCCAACCCACTTTTGTGGACCCCCCTTGAAGTACCCGAGATATAGTGCCTAGGAAGGGTTGGACATTGTGTTAGAATTGTATTCTAATGCCAACAGTATTCTGTATTCAAGATATACAAATATGCCAACAAAAAAAGTTAACCATACCTAATAGTAGATGTGTTGATTGGATGTATTTCATGTTTGATGATATAAATAGCAATGGCATTGCAATATCGGGGAAACACATCCATCATCATACGGACATCGTCATCACTCTTAATTTCGACAAGGGATGAGTCGAAATCTATGCCAGGATACCTATACTTGATGTCAATGCCAGTATGCGGAGGTCCTGACATGCTGACCTCGCGCATTTTCGATAGAAGACTGGAATAACTAATGTCACAGGTAACATAGTACCTCGGGTACTACTGCCATTGTAGATGATTCTACCTGTCTCATTCGCAAAATGTCCACCATAGTTGCAAAGCAAGGGAACCTCGTCTCCAGACATTGTTCATGTGGGCCTGTGAGTTCCAACAATTAGTTAAAGATAAAGCGGCGCAATATAAAAGTTTCAAAAAGCAGACATAATAGTTCACTCAAGCAAGTTGCCGCAGGTATGAAATGTCATATTTAGGTTTGACAACAATCATGAGGTAAGTTCTAGGGCAGGGAATTATCCTAGACCGATGGAGCATATAGTTAAGGGCCACAAAACCTACAAGTTTGTTTTTTAGGCTCAAAGGGTGGAATAAAAATGGGCACTTGAGATGTCACCAGGTACAAACATCGACACGTGAGATGTCAACTTGTCAAGTATTGACAGACATCACAAGGTTCAAACTTCAAAGCACTTTTATTTATTGAAATTGAACAGCACTATACTTCATGCATGGTTCAACAACCCATACTAGAATTCAAATTCTCAATCACAGGACTGAATTGACTCAATGAAGCACATGTATTTTAATAATTTTTACAAGTACTCTATAATTTAACATTATATAGAAGAATTCAATAATTTCAAATAAAAACAAAACAACAAAATGAAGCAAGTAAAATACATTAGCATAAATTCAATCCAAAATCCACACATGATTTATACATTAACCATCCATCAACATAATTCCACCAAATTATGTACCAAACTTAGTTTTTGAAAGATCATTTTTAAATGACTTTTTTTTTGTTTTGAGAAAAGGTTAACTTTTTAAATGATTTGTTTTTAGAAAGAAATAGGTCACAATTCACAATTGACTACATGAATGCCAATTTAATCCTAATAACTAAATCATATAATGACAAAACAAGTGATACCGTATCCCAAGTTTGTCTTAGCTTCCACAAATGCCAATATGTTAAATGGATAGGAATTGTATCACAGCATCCCACGTGTGCTGTGTGCATATCGTACATATCCTTTTCAAAATTTAAGGGAAAAATAAAAAACAGAATAAAAGGAGTATTGACATAACATACTAGACAGTCTTGCTAATCTGGGTGTAACAAGGTAAGGATAGAGACAAAATTTTAAGGCTATAAAGGATTTGCCAGAGATGGGAGATCCCAGAAATACCTCCATGAAGTGGCACAAAGTGCTCCATGTCCCCACAACAGAGAAGCACAGAGCCTGTTAGCACCACCCAGGTTCTACACTTATTGCATACATCTTATTCAATCTACCCTTCTCAGGCTCCCCAACCATCAAATCAATACAGACAGATAAAACCTACAGTAACCGATCCTGTTCCATCCCCACTATGCTCTATCATTCCAGCCCCAAGTGAACTACACACCCTATCCCATTACAAACTAAAACCCCGATGCCCATGCGACCCTTGTACTGTGGACAACTAGCCCCTAAACACCATCTTAAACAGAGTCCCTCACCTCTAGTTAATCATCTTTATGCATCCCCTAACTTTAACCATCCATGTCTTTGAGCCAACAGCCACAAATCAAAACTACTGTCCTAAGGATTGCCATGTGGTTGCTTGGGAGAAAAAACATTAATAAAGAGAAAAGCAGCAAAGGAAATCCTATTGCAGGAAAAATTTACCTGCAGTCAAAGAGAGAAAAGACACAAAGCTGAATAATGAATCTAAAGGTGAAACCCGATAAGGCAGCCAAGGCCAACAAATTCTTTACCCGAGGACAAGTGTATGATGGGTCAAAAAATCAAATTCAGAATTCAAATGAAGAACTAATTCAAAATTGAAAAATTTGAACTACAAACCACACCTCTCTGTCCCCATTCCAAGGTCCATCCATTATCTTTTCAATCCAATGGTCCACAAAAGCCCAACCATTTCTCTCCTCCCCCCCCCTCCCCCTAACTCCCCCAAGTAACCATTCCTCCCCCACACACAAGCAACCCCTTCTACACTTGCCAGTAATTCAACTTCTACTTCACCTGTCCTCATACAGTGAGAAGAAACACATAAGGCATCACCCACCGTCCAGTTGCCCATACATCCACCCATCCTTTCCACAGTGAAAAACAGCGTGCACAAATACAACCCCTATTCAAACCACCATACACATGTCCAGCAAAGTCCAAATCACATAATACTCTCTCCTCGAAAGACCTCAATAGACATAGCGGCCTCACAATACCCTAGCTCTTATCCTATTTGAGAACTAGAAGTTCAATTTATCTCTTTAACAGCTACAGTACAGACCACCACAAAACCTTCCCCAAAACAGAGGCTGGGACCCACCTCAATCCCTTATCCACTCCTCAGTCTCTCAAGGTGCCAATGGTCTAACAGCTGAGATACCCACGAAAATGGTCCCACTAGGTACACCATGCTTCGTTCCCCTCTTCTTCCATCCACCACAAGAACAACACTCGACCCAGTTGCAAATACCCACATCCAAAACTAGTGATGACTCACCCCATGTCTGCTACGTCAAAATCCACCCTGTGGCCGATCCAAAGACCATGGGGTCCCAAAAGCACAAAGAAGTACTCTAGCAAGTCCTCTTCGGTATTCAGAATCATATGTCTCAGTTGATCACAAGAAATAGAGAAAATGAGGGTAACATAAGGCAGATGCTAGAGGTTATGGGACAAGACTACAATGGAAAGATCAATGTTATTGGTGAAGCAGTGAAGATGAACCAAATTACCAACCTCAAAAAAAGGAGCCAATGACAAAGGCCGAGGAAATGAAGATCTTGAAAGTCAATCCTGGTCCCTGGAAGAATTAACTTCCAGACACTCCCCGCCCACCCCTTGACCTCAAAAAGCCTTCCATTCCAAGTGATCACAGTCAAAAGCACTCCTCCTCACGCCACCACAACCCTCAACCTTCTATAGCCAAATGATGATCATGGCAAGGCATATTTGGCATATGGGGGAACCTGAGAAGAAAAAAAATCTATATGCTTATGTACAAGCAAATTCAATCAAAAAAATTTGGTTAGTATTAATGCCATGTACTTCAGTGAAGTTTACACTCTCAGAGACAGAAGTGCCTGGCTGCTCTGCTACTACTAGGTGCATTTGGCATAATTTGGATCCTCTGAATCCAACAATCCTGAACCAGACATCCAGCATAGTAAACCACTTTTCTGTTTCTAAATATTCTCTCGCCTTTTTGATGATTATAAATGAATCTTCACAGTTGTATAAGGCCCCGAAAGACTAATCTGAGGGTGGAAGAAGTTAGACGAAACAAAAGAGTCACTCTCTCATCCCATGCTCTATAGGCAGAGGTTTCCTTGTAACAACAAGGTATTCCTTCAAAAAGACTGGGGGACATACATTGCAAGCATGGAAAGTCTATCAGTCTCTCTGTTTTTTTTCTCCTGACACAATCGTATTCATATTCTTCTCATCGGTACGTCATTTACTTGGTCAAACCACGTTATATCCAATGGCTCACAGCCATTCAGTTATGAAATGATGAGACTCGAAGAGAAAAGCCTACACAATTTGATCCCTAATGGTGGTCTCTTTTGTTGTAGAAGGTTGGCTCCAAAGGCTAGATACCTTTGGTGCACACTTTTAAAGACATGCACATAAAATAACAAAAAATACATCAAGGTGGGACTGATACCACCACTTCCTCCTAATAACCCCTGCACACTTTCCATACAATCACACTGGTAAAGATAGCATTACAACAAGACCATGTCCGCTGAATACAAAATTTAGCATCACACAATTTCCGATACATTACATACGCTTTTGTAAACATCAAAATTCAACACAATTGTGATCCTTCACTTTAAATGACTGATATAAATTGCTTACAACTTAATTATGAAAGAATTAACCATGGGAAGCCAATGTAGAGCTCGTTTGCTCAAGATCACCCTGAGACTAAAACACCCCAAGTATGATCTCCACCTTCGATAGCACCAGGACCAGGGCTCTCCTAACTCACAAGATGGAGGCCATCCAAGAAAGCAATCTTACACAATAATAGGTCACTCTAGAATGCTTAGATCAGTGAGCATACAAATGGCAATGAAAATCTAGCATGGACATGGCAATGGTGACCAAAATGGTGCATAGAAAGGTTCTTATGTGCACGGTGTAAGCTTGCAAAATTTGTCACCAAACTCATGAAATTCAAACTCTATCTTGCAGTGACTGATATTAGAACACTGGTTGCAGCAAGATAATAGATGCTTAATTCTCACAAATAGATGGCGTATAGCGATGGAGAGTAGATGACATGGCATAGCATGGACTATCGCATGGCATGGTTTGGACTTCAAATTGGCCATACATGTCATGAAAGTCAAACTCTATCATGCTGTTACAGGCCTTAGAACATAGGTTACAGCAAGATAATGGATGTTTAATTCTCAAAAATAGATGGCATGGGGTATAGGTGTGGCATGGTATGGACTTGCAAATTGGCCATAAATCTCATTACAGTCTCTCTTGCAGTACCTGATGCTAGAACATAAACTACTGCAAGATAATGAAGGTTTAATGCTCACAAATAGATGGCTTAAATTGTAGGTGCGAATGATAAACTATGTAGTATAATATAGACTATAAAATGGCATGTTAAAGTTCACAAAATCAAATCTCATAAATCCAAGGGATGAGAATACCTTGCCTTAAATTTGGAATGATGTAGAGATTAAAGCAAGATGGAAGGTCATTAGTGCTCCATTAATGGTGGAAATGTGGAATGGGGTGTGATTGAAGGTGAGATCCATAGGGTTTTGGGGAAGAAGAGAGTAGGGTTACATGGTAGTCTCTCTCTCTCAAAATGGCTATGGATCATGTAAACCATGGCCATGAACACTCAAATTCTTTCACTCTCTATAGGGGCCAACCACTCACAGTAAGCTTTCTCTCTATCTATTTGGACAGCATAGCATCGGGTTGAAGTGAAATCATGACAAGTGGCATGCAAATGGGCTTTTTAATTTTCCCATGAGCCCTACAGGTTTCAATTGAAATACCAAATCCTATGCCCCTTCTAGAAGATCAGTCCATGAACACTCATTTAGTCATGTGTAAAAGATTCACCCATGTGCTCAAAAACTGTTATATAACACAATTATAGAAAGTATGTACACAACCCAACAAGCTCAAATGAATAACCATCATCCACTTGTGGTGACCAAGGGGCCTATATGGGGACCCTGTTGGGGCACATGTATGGCCCATTGGCTACTTGGACGTCATATGTGTCCTGCCTATTCTTATATCGAATTTAAAAAAATCAAATTCCTAGGCCATTTTAGGATCCAGAAAAATTATAAAAAAATTCCCAAAATATTTAAAAATCAGTTTTCAACTTGTTTTACCAAAATAAATTCATTTGGGATGCTTTGCAAATATTTGAGTGAGATATGGTGCCTTCAAAGTTTGATTTCTATAAAACCAAGGCACTCTTCTGAGCTTACCCCAGAACCCACAACCATTTTCTCAAATCGACTCAAAGGAACCCATGAACCATAGTCCTAGGAGCTCATACTTGGTCCTCAAAGTCGACCAATAGATGGAGGAATTATGAGATCTGGGGAGATTGCAAGTGCACCCCCAAGAACAAA